CTGACCCGGGACCCTGGGGGGTTGATAAAAAAACGATGGGACGTTTTAGCTTCGGTTTTTTCAAACCAACCTTCTCTTGCCTACATGCACCAAATCCATCCCTCCTACCCTCCCACCTCCGTGTGTCTGGCGTGTGCATCTTATCGGCACAGTCAGGCTGTTATGTGTGAGGCTCAGGGACTAACATGGGAAACAAACTGCAAAATGAAATGTTGCTTCTAATGTGCAAACACTCATTGTGACAACACGGTGTGTCCACCCACCCACACACACACTGCACTACAGCATGCATGCTTGCATATGATACGTATGCAGGATACACATCCATGTTACAAACTGTACACTCACAGCATATATGTAAAGATTAAAGGCCCTGCAGACTCGCACTCATTTACATAAAATCTGATGCACTCAGCAAACTTCAACTAAACCTTAGCTTAACACCCTCGGGGCGGGTCGTTTGGTCAGTCAGGTTAAACATGTTTATGTCCTGAAGTAACCCAATGGTTTGATGGTTAATTATGTAGTCGCATTAGGGAAAAATGTGGTTGAAGACTGCAGCACAATTAAAATTACTGCGACCGTGTGCAATGACCGTGCAATCTCATTGCCTTTGAAATTGTTGCTTGGAAGACGGAGATCAGGTCTGCAACCACTTGCAGGCAGTTGCCACCTTCAGAATGACTTTGGTGTGTGAAGACAGTATCAGTCTGCAGTCAGTCTGCTGTCAGTCTGCTGTCAGTTGGCAGTCAGTGGGGTCAAATGGCAGAAACTGATGAAATGACAAAAGTGCAAATCTTTTGCTGTTGACATCCACAGAAATTCACTTTAAATAGGTCACACTGCTTCTTTACATTCAGCACAGTCATATGTTTGAAATAAAAATTCATATATTCTTCCACAAATAGTGATGTAATTGCTGCAGGGCAGTTATTTAACTGCAAAACACATACAACTGACACGTTGTTACCTTGTTTTGTTTTTTTTAGTCGTTGTTGAGTCGAGTTTCTTATTGCAAAGCAGCATTTAGACAGCAATCACTTGCTCTTTGGCCAGTCTGGTGGTGATTACAGTGCACCTTCAGCCTCTGGGTGAAGAGTTTGGCCACAACAACTTTTTACAATCGGTCATCACCATCATCAAAGAAATTACTGCAATCATTAAGCAAACACCAATTTTCCCAAAATGCGAGGAGGTTGCCGTCCCCTTTTAACTCTGATTAGTCTTCACTCTAAAGCCTTTGCTGCATGTCATCACCCTCCGCTCTGTCCCTGACTTCCTGTTTGTCTCTGCTGCAGGTGTTCACTGTGCTTAAAATGCCTAAATTCAACACTGGATTCAGATTTACACCAAATGCGCTGCAGGCTCAAGACAAAAACGGACAGAAGCTGCAAATCAGTGACAGTCAGGGAGAATTTTTTATGATGTCGCTGTCAGTTATCCACCCATTGACACGATGAAAGCGTGAGTGTGACAGAGGAAGGAGAATGGCTTCCTTATCCCAGTGGAGGTCTGCTGTACTCCACTGGTCCCCAGTCACTGTTACCTAACAATCTAGAGACCCCTGTGAAGACTTCCACAGGAGGAGGTGATTGTGACTCATAAACATATACATACAGGAATAACTGTCAGCGAGACCATGTACCGGATATTAGTCTTGTATTCGTTGTACAGAAATAAACATGAAAAAATCAGAAATTGGTGGAGCGGAGGTTTGGATTTCTCATTGCAGGGAGATGTGCTTGCCTCGAGCATCGGCGGCCTCATAGCACCACATGTACCCACGGAGATCTGCCGAAAAGACAAGCGATGCATCCTGACATGTGACAGTTTTTTACTCGCCACAGAATGACAGCGTTTGCCTATAACTGAAGGTCATGCTTGGATCCCTGCATGTCTGCCACACTGAACCATCCACTGCTTCTTCACAGCACAGCCACAGGAGAGGACTCAAAGCTTTTAAAGCTTTTTTTTTAGCCATTTGTTCCGACGCACCTTGTTTTGAAAGTCGCACACCAGTAAAGCTGCTCGTAGCGCTCTGACAGCATTCTTCATCCACAAACAGTGACGGCAGGCCTGATTTCAAACTGTTTGATGTCAGACACCTGCAGTTTTCCTTCTAAGGAGGGAAAATTAAGAGTGTTCTTGAAAATGAGCTCCTCATTATTGCACAATGTTGAGGTTCTGATTCCTTGTCTGTTCTTATAAAGTGACATTTACTGCGTCTATTTTTTTTTTTCTTCTATTTGCTGCTATGTCACTAAAAACAAACTTTCAAATCACCAGCCAGTTTCATGTCTTTGACATAATGAAGCAAACCTGGCAACCATCAGAGCTCACATATGAAGGGTGGCTGAGCTCTGGAGGAGCGGGACTCGAAGTGGAGCTGCTGCTCCTGCACATTCAAAAGGAGCAAGTTGAGGTACATTATTGCCTGTGTACACAAGTATCAACCCATTAAAGTATGATCAGCACTTCCTCTATGCCTACTTATAACCTTTTTCATGTAGATCGCATAATTTAAGTAGCGTAGCATGTGGAAGTCCAGTGTAATTAGCCCCTGCAGACACAGACAGAGCTTAGTGAGAGGCCTTCAGTCTCACGCTCTCCTCTGAGAAGTGCTAGATCAGCTCCAGGGGGGAGGCTGCTGTGTGCAGGTGGCCCCGCTGAAGATGGCTCGTGCCATTCAAGGGAAAAGTAAACTGAAAGTGGTAACCGAATACACAGATGAGAGTACAAGCTGAGCACGTGGGACGTGGTTTATCTTTAGCCTGTCAGTGCAGTTCTGCGGGTTCATCTGTATGATCTGTACATTTCTGTGCACTTCCCTTTTATTGACAGCCGATTGACTCTGCCCCCAATAAACAAGCCTTTATTTGGCTTGTGTCTCACAATCAGTGCGCGGCCCAACTCAGAGCAAACAAGCAGAGCTTATAGGCTGTTCCTTCCAGTAAATCCCGAGTCATTGATAAAACACGCCAACTCCAATATGCTTTTCTTTACCCTCACACCTGTGCTGCACAGTTTTCATGCCCCATCTCACCTTCCTTTATATAACTGAGTGTTTTCTCAGAAACACAGCGTTCGTATTAAAAAAGAAAACTAGCTAATTAGCACCTGTATCTCTCACACATCACATGATTGGGAGAAACGGAGAGAAGGCAGGGAGTGAGGGGAAAAGAGAGATCAGCCACCGGGGAAGGTGTGAGCAAGCTGCGCTGATATGGAAATGAAGTCTTTAATTATGGATGAATACATTATCAGATCAAGGCTAAGGATTTGCTCTTCGTGTATGTTGTGTTTGGCGATATCGTGGGACGCCGCAGACCCCTGTGAATAACAGCGAGTTGGTTTACTCCAGAGCAGCGAGGAGTCTGCATTCAAGCCCAGACTGGCGCACTGAAATACGCTCACGTGTCTCCGGGTATAGATGATGATACATGGCTGGTTATTTAGCTACATTTGGAGTTGTTCTTGAAATGTGACGACGATCATGGCCTGTAAAGTGCTGCAGTTATGTCATCTTCCTCTGTAGCTTCTATTTCCTCCTCACATGGTTGAGTGTGCAGTTTGGGCTTTGGCTACAAAACCTTTTCTCAGCATCTTTGGTGATACAGTGGAAAAACTCTCACTTTGTTTGTGGTTTCACTTCCACACAGAGCCATAAGATGAATGCTTTTTGCTGGTGTGTTTCTTTGTATTGTTTTCGGGATGCACAGTTACTTTTCACACCCAGTATTATATTTGGATGGATGCTGGCCTTTGTCCCAGCCCGACACAAAGTTAGTTAGAGCTTAGTGATGATTTGTTCTTCAGGTTTTAAAATGAATGCGACTGGGGAGTCAGTTAAATATATTTAAGGATAAAATGAATCGATAGCAAAAGTCCCAAATCCCCAAAAGTTGATTCTGTTCATCTGGACGTTGTGTTTTCTTCAGTCTCAGTTGACTGCAGGTTTCCCCAAACTTATAATCAGTACATTTGCATAATGACTGAAAGCAGCACCACAGAAGGAACAAAGGGCTGGGAGGTCAGTTCCTTAATCTTAATTATGCAAATTCTCATGACTATTGATCAACAACCACTGATCAATGGCCATGAGTACCATTCACAGAGAGTTGGGGAATGGCTGCAAGCACAGCATGTAAGATGGCGAAAGATGTACCCTTAGGCCCCCTCCTCGATTCAGAGATGGTCTTTCCCTTTTCACGTAGAAGAAGAAGAAGTCCCTTTGGATGAGTGACAAAACGTTTCGTTACTGAAAACATCCAAATGAACAGAATCAACTTTTGGGGATTTACTTACCTGGATGATTGAGCACAAGACACAAAGTCCGATAATTTATCTTTTTATATTCTCACACCACCAACTTTTTGCAAAAAGGAAGTTTTACATGTCAGGACATAATGAAAGGAACACGATGTAAAATTAGGTACATAAAGCCTCAGATAAACAAAAAGACATTATTAATTTACCCAAAGCTAAGCCACGATTGGGTAGAACCACCTTTGGCATTTTTACTGTGACTGGATTTAACACCAATCAATACCTTTGTGTGCTTTTTCCATATTGATTGATTGATTGATTGATTGATTGATTGATTGATTGATTGATTGATTGATTGATTGATTGGTAATTTATTTCAACATGTGAACAATATACAAGTACATTTAGAAAAGAAATAAGAGAGAAAAAAATACTATACAAATTACATACAAAAAACCATTCTGATTAATTTACATGTTGAAAGGGAGTGGGAAGAAGTATACACTTATTTAATCCCACCCCTTTGCCATAAATTATCAGTGAATATTTAGTCAGCTTCCTTACTGATATAATTTGTAATAAAAATAGTGAACAGATTTCTGATATACTATATACTATAATATCACATCATGAATTTTTTGTTTGTTTGTTTGTTTTTAAATAGAGACATTCACTTAATTTAAATATTTTCCTTTTCTTTATAGATCGAGAAGATCATATTTTTATAACTCTTTTTGAACAGTTTTATGTTTGGACATTGCTTTAATTCCATATTCAGTTTGTTCCATAGTTTCACTCCATGAACAGAAACACAAAAGCCTTTTCTTTTAGTACGTACCTTCATTGTTTTGAAGTTACAAAAACCCCTTAAATTATAACTTCCTTCTTTCAAAAAAAAACATACTCTGAATATTACCTGGCAGTTCTTTATTTATTGAACATAGTTGGAAGCTCATTCATCAAACGTATGGGTCTGCAGGCCGGCCGGCACCCTGTGGCGGGCGTCACGTGGCCCGTAGGATGTAAGCTGAGTGTCACGGCCATCGTCCACGTTTTAACCCAACGTAGCTCTGAGTCTTATCCTTGTACCTGAGAAGCAGAGCCATGATCATTTCTCTTGATGCTATGCTGGCAGCTACTTCACACATCTAATTGGAAAGCAAATAAGAATTACCCAAGAACAGTTCCATACTGTAAAAACTGCCTGACCTTGATCAATACGGGCCCCACACGGGGAAATTCAAGAGCATTTTAAATTTAAACAGGCAGGACAAACTAATAGAGCCAATTGCTTTGACTCTGTGGAATTACACTGTAGGGAGTGGGGAGTAAAAAAGGCTAATTAAACCAGTAAATTCTCTCTGGGCTTCTGCTGTCCGCCACTTCGCTGGGAGCCCTGCACTAACTGTGACTGGTTTAACCCCACAGACCCCAAACACTACTGACAGTGCAGGGACTTGTGCACGCTGGAGTTCTCTCTGCATTTGGCTTTTTGAGCTACACTTATGCATAAACGAAGAGACATACTGGCTTTACAGGGAAGGTGTTGTGAAAGAGTAAATAAAATTTTAGCACAGCCAATTGCAGCCACGGTGCTCAGACAAGAAGCCATGGGCAGTTTTGTGACTGTGTTACAACCAGACTGACAGCAACAACAAACCTTTAAAGAGAGCACTGCTCTGTGTAAGCCTCTTCACCTGTGAGACAGCTCATGTGGGAACAACGAGGCAGAAAGGCAATCGTGCTTTAGTGCTTTGAGCATTTGGGGGCAATTTTAATTTGAGTGTGTATGTAAGGATTTGAACCAGCCTCACCGATTACTACAAAATAAGACGAGTCATGGAAGGTTGCTGATCGTCTAATTAAGCCCCTAATTAGTGGAGAGCAGATGACAAAGCACTTCAGCAAAATAAAATTTCAAAAACAAAAAGCATGCATGGCCAATTTTGGCCACTTTTAGAGAAAAGAGAGAGACACGCAGTGACACAGCACAGCTGTTTTGAATCCAGGGCCTGAGGACACAACATTTTCATCATCATTCTGCTTGTTAAGCCCACTGTCTGCCTCTGCAAAGCAACATATTTGCAAATCTGGGCCGTTTAAAATAATCCCACTGCACTCCTGGAAGCTGCCAACACTTTCCTGGCTCATAGGAAGGATTGATCGATAACTTTAACGCCCTTAAACTGAGTTTTGGGATTCACGCACTTGTAGTACTGTGTGTTTGGGTGATGATTAGTTTGCATGACCTGCATGTGTCATTTAGGTTTAGCCTGAAATGCATGGTGCATATTAACCCTTATACCCTCTTCTTTCAAATAATTATAGCAATGAATCGTCATGATTTCATGTTGTTTCAGGGTTTCATTTAATGCTGTGTGTGTGTTTGCAGTTTTGTCACATGACACTGATGAATTATGATCCTCTTTCTTTTTTCTCCCCTTTTTATGTGGCCGCGTGTGGCTCACGGTTGTATTATGCATGGTTGCTGGGTTTCTATTGTATTGCACATGGGTACTGCCCTGCAAGGACATCAGCAGCTCGAAAAATGTTTGTGGCTCTCTGTTGTTTGCTCACTTTGAATGTTTCATTTTGTTTGTGACAGAGAGCAGAGGGATGCTCAACCTCCATTTTTTCCTAATGCCTGGTGATGCTAATGTTTGTCCCCACACACACACATGCTCAAGCATATATGCTCGCATATGTGTTACCTCTGTTAATAATCTCCTGTTATCTCTCTTTGGTCCTTGTTTAGAATCACAGTGCACACTGTGTGGTGAACCAGAAGGTGAGTGGGCTTCGCCATTCCCCGAAATGCTCGTGTCATCGTCATCTCCCAGCTTGTTGTTTGCCATTAGGGGAGGGTGGGAAGCGGAGCGGGGGCGAGGCTTTGCTGCAGACACCCTGTTCTTCAGTCTTCATCTCAGCAAAGCAATGGTGTGGAGCAGCTTTTTAGGTTCCGTGTCAAAAATAATAAAAGACACAAAAATGCACTGCACAGAGTGAGAAAGCGCTCCCTGGTTTTTATTTATTTACTGTGCAGCATTTCGACAGCAGCGCTGCAAATTTCAAAGTATCACATGTGTAGGCTGGGGTGTGTACGCACAGTGTAACTCCAGAGGCAGCCATGTTTTTGCACATACTCTAATTGACAGCATGAAGGCTGAAGGGCACATGTTCGGAGCGATGACTAACCACGAGTGTTTCTGCTTCACATCTCATCCAATGTTGCGCACATAGTTGAGCAAAGACATATTTGTGAGCTTGTGTGTGTGCAACATGCTTGTGGCGTATTTCAATGCCTGGAATCTGCTTAGTTCATGAGCCTGCTGTTAGATTAAGAAGTCTTTTCAAGCTCCTGCCACCTCCTCATTCTGCATCATTCCCATATGTCTCCTTCCACTCCCGTCCAAAACCATCGCCTCCTTTTTGCATGCGTTACTTCTGAGAGGTGACCCTCCGTCTCTGCACAGCTGTGCTCCATGTGTTTTGTTCTGGTGTCTTATCTGGTAGATTGCTGTAACTAACAGTCTCTCTAAACAAAAATGACTGGAAATTATGGGTGAATAGAAAGCGCTTAGAGTGCTTTGCATCTCGCAGTGAGAGGGGTAAACCTCGAAATGAGCATGCTCGCTGATGGGCTCGGTGACAGATATGATATTTCCCTCTGGACTTAACCTTGTCCAGGAATCAGCCATGTGCCTCTAAGCCCAATAAGCATTATTCTGTGTCTCAAAAATCAATGCTGCTCTCTCTGCTTTGCTTGATTGGATTAAGACGTAATCAAATCGAGCATGATAACTGTGTTCTTCTGACCTTCCCACTGAGACAAGCAAAGACGGGAGGGGAGGCCTGAGGGAAGGACAGGGAGTGTGTGTGTGTTTGTGTGTGTGAGTGTGTATTCATATCTTTGTGGGGACCAAAAATTGGAATTTTACTATACTTGTGGGGACCAAAATCCTGGTCCCCATAAGTTTGAAGGCATTTCTGTGACTCAAAATGTGGTTAGTGTCAGGGTTACAGTTGGGTTAGGGAAAGCATTATGTCAATTAGGTGTCCCCACAAGATATGAATACCTGACATGTGTGTGTGTGTGTGTGGGAGTAATGTGTGTGGATCTGGGCAGAAGAGCTCCAGAGGCACCCATGCTGTTGCTTCATGTTGCACACGATGGTGTCTGTTGAACCTCCGGAGGGGAAACCAGCCCTGGAGCGTCCGTGTGGTTGGTTGAGAAACGGCTTTTAATGGTCACTTTGATTCCTGATCTTATTCTTTGATTACTTACATTATTATTATGGTTTTTCCCATTTTGGACCCATTTGAACTTATTTTTTTAGTTAAAGTTCTTTAATATGTAGATTTCATTTAGAAAACATTAAGAGCTGTTCAGTAATGATGCATACACATCAGATGTAAGGAATGCAAACCAAAGTTTTGGATAAACAGTCGGAAAACCAGGATTATTCGCCCCTAACAGCCAACAGGAAGAGGAGGAGTTGAGCTGATAGCTGGAATCAAGCTGAACTCATGAGCCTTCTCCTTTTTTCCTGCATTTGTGATTGTCGGTGGCATCAGGAGAGAAACCACAGTGTGTTTGATGAAGCTGAAATATTTAAAGTCAAATGAAAACACAAATTCACTTCTGTTTACATTACCATGTGTGAACACACTTAAAGCAGCGTTTTTGGACGTACAGCACATATGAGTCCTATCAGTACAGAAACATTTGGGTGTTGAGCGGCTAATAGCATCAGCATGTCCATTAGCTCGTTGCTGTCGTACCTCTGCACGTGGCGGCCGCAGCGAGAGGCTTCATGTCTGCAGCCAGCCTGACATCTTGATAGGTGTGGCACAAATTTTCACTTGGACACAAATGAGTTTTTTGATTAGATTAGATTTTGGTGGCAAATATCAAGAAAAGAAACTTTAGAATTCATGTGCTTACAATAACAAAACTCCCACAGATGTCTAATGAAAAACGGATACTGTACTTAATATCCAAGAAGTGAAGGTCTGAACAGGAACTGATGTAAATCAGTCATCTGAGGTTTATAATCCCAGATTGTAAAAATCTGATTTCTGTTGTGGTTCAGTCCTGAGAGGAGGGAGTGTGAGCTGCAGTGTGACGTGGTGATTCTTGGTGAACAACTGCTTTCATATTTCTATAATTCCTAAATAAAAAATATATTTTGCTGCTTTAAATTCCTGAATGCACAGAAATGTCTGTCTTTGCCGTTTGTTGCCTGGCGCACTCGTCTTGTTTCATACCGGTCACCAGACTCTAAACCTACTTAAAACACGCAGCTCTTATCTCTGTGTTTGTGTGTTTGCTCTGAGAATTGTCAGAGAGGAATTTAGCGCATTTACAAGGCCAGGCGAGGCTTCGTCGCCTGCAGGTGATAATCCCACGAGAGGGGCAGAAAGCAGGCATGTGATGTGAGGAAGAGCGATACAGAGACATTGAAGTGCAAACATGCACATTTGCACATCTTGTCCTCTTGTGTTTGAGCTGAATGCTGAGCCAGGGTCTACAGATCCCACTGGAACCCTTAACTCCTTATCTCATAAATATGTAGCTCACACCAACACATAAAAATGATTGGACCCACTCTGAAACCGTACAGTAGCAGAGCATGTCAGATGTTTGTTATAAACTCTTAATTTCAGTTTGTTTATTGTACACTACATGAAAAAAGTAAGTAATTGGTCAGTAAAAATAATCCTGCAGCAGTTTTCTTCATCTCTCTGTTCCACACATTTCTTTTTATAGTCTGCGAAACAGGCACGAGAACAAGCGCAGCTGCTCAGTGAACATGCAGAAAAACTGATGCAGAATATTTCTTTGTTTAGGTCATTTTTAATGTGCAAACTCTCAAAGTATTGTTCCTCCAGTTTTTATCAAAGATGCACCAAATAGAGCTTTTTCTTTGGCTGCTGGGAAAATTAGAGGATGCCCACAAATTTGCAAGACGTGGCTCCAAGCACCCAAATAAGAGAGCTCTGTGGTGCAGCTCAGAGAAAACACGACGTTTACTAAGCTGTGTCTACAGCTGACGTAGAGCAAGAGGGAGGACATTTTCTCAAAGAATGAAGAGAAGCACTTACTGGTGTTAATGGAAATTCAAATAATCTCGCCAAGTGATAGGTTTGTAGCTTGAACCTATTCGCTGGAACGTTGAAGACAATATAATTACACAGCAAGCAAGACACGAAGTAGGCAAAGTTCTTCATGTTTCTCGTGCACGGGAGAGAACCGGACAAACGCCGTTCCTTCGCTTGACCCCAGTTGCTCTCATCCGCTCCCCCGTAACGGTGCTCTTTTATTGAGGTTACATGAATATGCATAGGTTCATTAACATATGACGTCTTTTTTTTTTTTTCTTTTTTGTGTCCCGTTTGGATCTTTAGCCATCAGAATTGTTGTCTTAAGGCCAAGAAAGATGCCAAGCGGATTTATTTTACCAAGTGGATCATCATGGCCTTGCCATATTGG